ACGTCGAGGCACGCAACGATAACGCAAATTTAGCGCCGGCCTTTACTGTGAAGGACATCAAATATAAGCCAGGAAGTAAAGCATTTGCTATACCTTACGAGCTGCACTGGGGTTTTATCTCTTTCCGAACTCGTTTATTTGATATGTCTATTACGTCCCGAAGCCTTTCCATTCGGATTATGACCTGAGCTGGCTCTGAGATAAAAACGTTCGCTGCTAATCCGTACTTGGTTTGTTTATTAGATAATTTCGAGATTAAAATGTAGAGTAAACGGGTGCTTCATATTAAAGAAATGTTATACTACATAGCCCGCTTTATATTTTTCCACCAATTCGGTATTTGATATGGCGAACAAGCTTTCTTAAACCCGTCTCGCTATCTCTAGTCTTACATATACGCTACTCCCTCCTTGTCTAGTGAGAATCTCTATATATGAGTAAATGGAGACCGCGGGCTACCTGATCGCTATGCTACCTACCTTCTTCGGGTCTCATGTGCATTAGCTCTGGTAGGTATTTCCGACTAAAACCCCAGAAGCCCCATAAAGAATCCCGGCCAAAAAAAGCTTATCAGATGGCGCTAGTAGACCGCCGGCGTTGCTGGCTGATGCCAAGGGGCTTTATCAGATCCTTTGATGTAGTTCTATTGGATGGTCTGCGGCTGGCCCCTGTTTAGCGTACCATTGTTAGGCCTTCGGGAAGGGATCCTAAAGCCTCTTGATTTCCCCTTATTTCCTCCATAGGGTCGGCCGAGCAAGGTATGATAAAACTGGCGACCTCGGGATACTATTATCACTTTTAGGCAGCTATTATAGATAGGTAGGTAGCTATACTATGTCGGGCTGCGTGTCCTGGGATGGCTTGAGGATTTCTCTTATAGAAACTACCCCCGTTTACGGAGGTATGGTGGTGGTATGTCGTAGGATTCTTTGGCGTAGTTATAGCCGTGGATATTTCATATAGGCCCTTGTCGAGATTACGAGTCATTCCGAAAGCAGGGTACGATATTGGGGCCATGGCATCGTTTTCGAGATAATGGTGCGATTTTCTCTTTGGAGTCATGTAGGAAATACCAACGTGGGTATTTAGGAATATATAATAATAATAATAACTCGCGGACACATAAATCGAGTCGTCTGGCATCCTGGACTATATTGCCTGCCTATCCTGTTAGCCAGATCCTATCTAGGCACATCTTACAGCTGCAGCCGGCATGTCCTCCGACGAGAAGAAAGAAGGCGGCCTCATGACCAATCCGCAGCCTTTAACCGAGAGCTTGCCGGAGCAGCTGGAAGCGCAAGTCGACAATCGAGATGCCGAAGCTGAAAAGCGTCTCGCACGGTTACACGAGCTATACGGAGCAACGTGGGACGGGCCCGACGACCCCAACGATCCATACAACTGGCCCGAGTGGCGGAAGGTCTCGATCGGCATCATCTTCTCCGTCGGCCAGCTCGTGACTTTGATGTCGGCCAGCATAATGGCAGCGGCCCTCGGCAACATATCTCGCGATCTGAAAATCAGCGCGTCGACTTCGCAGATCACCCTCTCCATCTACTTCCTCGGTTTGGGGATCGGCCCGTTCTTTATCGCTGCTCTCGCGGAGATGAACGGTCGGAAGAAAGTCTGGATCGTCAGCAACGCCTGGTATATCCTGTGGAATGCGCTTTGCCCGGTGGGAAACTCGACGGGGTTGATGATTGCCAGTAGGTTTCTCGCTGCGACGGGAGCGGGAGCCGGTATTATAGTACGTACCTATGATTGATTATTGTTCATTGCCTAGCTTCGAAAATACGTTGAAGTCTTATATTCTCTCTTGTTCATATAGCTTACGGGCCCTGTCATGGCGGACATGTACCACGCGAAGGATCGTGGCAAGTCACTTGCCATCGCCTCTTTTCTTCCGTATCTGGGTCCGGCTCTAGGCCCTATCGTCGGCGGGGTCGTTGTACAGCTTGTGTACTGGCCGTGGCTTTTCTGGATCGTGAGCATCTTCGACGCGTTCATAACCCTGTTGGGAGTTTTTATCATCAAAGAGTCGTACACTCCGGTTCTGCTACGTCGAAAGGCGGTCGCGAGATCCGAGTCGGTCGTGCTAGCTTTATCTCCACTGCAATCGGCCTTCTGGAACGATTTCTTCTCCCGGCTAGCGATCTATCTTCGACGGCCACTTCGGCTCCTTATCCGACGACCGATCGTTCAGGTTATATCTCTTGTCCTTGCTTTGAACTTTGGTATCTATACATTGATGCTCTCCACTTTTGCGACGCTCTGGATCGATTGGTACGGGCAGTCTGCCCTCATTGGTAGTTTACACTACCTATCTTTCTCGATTGGCTTTTGTATGACGGCGCAAATAGGGGCAAGGATTAGTACGTTGGGTTATTCCACGAAAGATGTCTATTAGGAGCAATTTCTGACTTTGGCTACTACAGTGGACATTATATATAGGCGGTTACGAGATCGACCAAAGAATAAGGGTGAGGATCGGCCCGAGTTTCGCGTTCCGTATATGCTTCCTGGAGTCCTCTTTATACCTGTGGGGCTCTTTTGGTACGGATGGGCGGCGCAATACCGTATTTCTTGGGTCATGGTTGACATCGGTGCTATCATATTCACGTGTGGGAGCTCAATCCTGTCTCAAGCTCTGCTAGCATACACTCTTGACATGTTTGGCGAGCTGGGTGCCTCGGCGAATGCCGCCACGAGACTTCTATCTAACATACTAGGATTCGTATTTCCAATATTTGCCCCTCAACTGTACGATAGCTTGGGTTACGGCTGGGGGAACAGTGTCCTGGCATTCGTTTTCGTAGCCCTTGGTCTCCCTGTGCCATTACTTTTGTGGGTTTGGGGCGAGAGGTTGAGAGCGCTTGGGAAAAAGCAACACGAGTATAATTGAAATGGCTGCTGTTATTCTTATTATTTTTCTCGCAACTTTGCTCTCTTATCTTGGTTCTACGGATGTATGAGGCAATAGCGTGTGATTTTGATATATGTCGTGCAGTTTACCATTGGAAATGTCATGGTGTCGCCTCTGCGTCGTGATGACATATTCTGATACCCAGCTAATATATCCAAGCGCTATAATATCCACACTACGGACTTCTCTCCTGTCTATATACTGTACAGAGCCAATCATTATCAAATAAGACATCTCAACCGGGCAGTAGATCGCACACATATAGATAACTCACCTTCACGAAAATGATAGCTTTTCGGTCTAGACCTTGAGAATCGAGATTAGAAAGCTTTCTGTCGCTGCGATCACAGCAAGACTCCACGGTGCATGGGCTCGTTGACCCGGGTGTAAGCTTGCCTGTAAAAGTCGATACTACACTGATGATTAATTATGATCGAGTTATGTTCGAGTGGCTACATAGGATCCCTTGTAGCTATTTCGTGATAGTAGCATAGAGTTGATGTTAAATTGTTTGATTTGAAATAATCGCGGGTGCTCGACGTGGTTCTAGAAGAGGCAATCGTGACGTATGAAATGCTCATTTTGCCTATAGATAGCGGCACCGTAAGAAGCGGAAGAGCTTAGCCAGGGTAAACAATCGTGATATTCTCAACAAGTTTCAACTAGTAGACGGACAGTAGCAGAATGACGTTGAAAATAGTGCTGATTCTCAGTTAAGTCTGATTTGAATATTTTTTTTATAAGTTCAGTTTTTACTTGTTATGATTGTAAATAAAATTAAAAAGACATATTATAATATAGATGATGTTAAGATTCAATTATTAAAAATATTAAATTTCTTTTGTTAAAGAATCGTGAAGTTATATGTGTTATGACTACCCAACGTGTAAGTGTCACTTGTTAAAATATTAAAAGGGCAACTTTTTTTTATAGCGTAATTCTGACTGGCCAGAAGTAAAAGATCAATCCGGAGTCTTTAGTCCACCCCCTTGAAATTACATCATTATGTACCTTGTCAATCGTTTCTGTGGATTGTAGAAAGAAACAAGAAGTAATCGGCGAGTAATCGGGGGCGAATGTACAGCTGACGGCGTAATAAAACGGGGGGGGGACACACGCATAGTAAGATGTGAGGTCGTGTTCGCTAGCTCCCCCGGCTGCTTAGTCGCGATTCCATGGGAATCAAATATTTGGGAGTGGTTGTCTTTCGCGAAGCTCTCTTATACGTCTGATCCTTACATCCCCTGCTGGAATGGGGGGGCCTGGGGGGGCGGGTGGATACCCTGACGATATGTTGACAGATGAGGTCTGTATAATCCGTATATCATATACGTTTCCAATTTATCATATATACATGGTCACTTGGTCACTTCTTACCAGCGTTCGCATATATATAATGTTCTTATTCCCCCGAAGAAGTCTCCCACATAGTTGATGATAGACTTTCATTCCTATATTTTTGCTATGATTTCCCATATCAATTGGACTAATATCTACGACACGAGTCTGTGACATATCAACCGTGATTCGTCATCGAATTTCATCAAGCCATCTTAGTACTACGTTTATAATTCTCCGAGTTTCGAAGGTTTAACGTATTTATTATGGCTTGTGGCCTTGTTGTTTGGCTCGAGCAAACGTGCCGCCGGCCACTGGTTCAGTGCTCTATCTCAGACGATTACTATGACATGGTTCCAGACATCCCCCAAGGACGAAACTTCCTCTCCAGGACCCCGTACGAGAAAGAAAGACGAAGCGCTAGATTAACCCCCCAATATCATGCCAGCTTTCAAGGGCCACCTGAAAGTTCTTGGCGAACTAGGGCCTAGCGAGCTCAACTGACGCCCCAGACGAGTCCGTCGTCCTTATTAGACTTGATAGTCTAGTGAGACTACTTGGAAAAGTTCCCATCGAAAGAAAAAGGGACCCGGTCGTAGTCTTACTATTAGGTTTGTTGTTTTGGTAAACTCATTCATATCCCAGCTTCAAAAGAAAACCCCCAAGACGATGGGAACCTCCCTCACCCCCTAGTCGCCAAGTCGCCAGTCGCCGCGATGCCGAGTTTCAACATTATACATTAGTGGACGTCGCGAGCCGCCCGCGAAATGTAATTCTGGATAATATCGCTGTCGCAGTTGCTGTGCTTGAGGATCTCATTCTTGAGGTCCAGAATCTCGTCTCGTAAGCTACCCGCATGCTCCTGAAGCATCCGGTTTTGCTGGCTTAGCTCGCGCTCCCGCGTCTGCAGTTCCGACATGCTATGCTTCGCCTTCTGCCGACACTTGTGCGCCGCCACGCGGTTCCGTTCGCGGTTCCGCCTGTGCTTGGCCGGGGGCATGTGGTCGATACCAGCGCTGATGCTGCATGCTGGGGATAGAGGAGAGGGTTGGCCTCCGTCCGCCATCCAGTTCATCGAAGATGCGGAAGCCGGGGATACGCCCAATACCGACCGAGGTGAATGTTTATTCGCATCGGAACCACTCGAAGAAAATCGATTACGAGTAGTAGTTGTCGGTGATATTATAGTTGACGATATGGTGTTATCGTCAAATATTGTCGTTTCATTGACATTTGGTTGGATATCTCCCGATTGTCTTGTGTGCTCGGCAAAGGGGTCATCTAAATCATGGTGAGTAGACTGTCCAGATACGTTTGTGCCTGTATATTGGTCGTAAAGAAACGTGCCTGCTGCCACGGCGTTATCAATTGTATAACCAGCATCAAACTGAATCGCTAGTTAGTAACTTCCATGGTAACATGTAGAAACAAGTATTAGTTCTTACGTTGTTGCTTGTATCTAAATCTTGTACTATTTCCTCCCGCGCGGCTTGATGATTTGGCCTATAATAGTCGTCTAGATTGTTACCCGGACTAGCCCAAAGTTGAGAATCGGGAGCTGTGATGCTCTCACCGAAAGGTGATGTGAACATTGTCGGGGTCCATGAGGTTGGAATCTCCTCTGACCAATTGTCGAATTTCCGCGCAGTGTCCACGGCTGCATTCATGCTTGCAGCGAGCTTTTTTGCAGGCTTCTGGTGGTTTTTGTGATGACGGGTCCTTTAGTTTCACCGAATACAGAGCCTTTTCGAGTTGATTTGTTTTATGTTGGCGTATAAATATGGCAACGTCAAGTTGTGAATAGAATATTATCTACGTTTTTTCGAAATTGATCATGGAGTTTCGAAGAAGTAATAAATTAAGATTTTCGACGCCTTCTGGGGAGAGATAGTGTGTATGTATGTATGTGTATGTAAGGTATGAAGTGAAAATAGAAAGGTAAACGCAAACTATCCAGATTCTTTTTGTCTTCCCGTTGAGGCAAACTTCGACCAGTCGTGCCTGGTCGTGCTGGTAAACTTCGACGGAGAAATTGTATTAGACTGGGTCTGGTCCCTGAATGCTGGGATCATGGGACGTCATAACAACGGGATACTGATGGTTCGGGAAGAAGACGCTTAGATGGAATGGGATTTGCTCAGTACTAAGTGTGTTTGCACCAGAGATATTATACACGATTATAATACATGATCATGATAAGGTTTGGGGTTACTTTGAAGGACCGATCTAATACTATTGAAGAGACCAAAGTTCGGATTAAGCTATCACATATATACAGATATACAGATGCTTTTGGGCTATTATCTGGGGTCTGTGTACAGTACTTGTCAAGGGCTATGTTATTAAAATGCAGTTCTATATCGCTTATACTAGTTACTAGGTATAATATGCACGTAGTATCGGACTGGACTCCGTGAGTGGTGAATGGTCAATCTGGCCAGTCTTTATGCAGCAGTTACACCTCGAGGCCGTTATCAAGCGAGCTTGTAATACACCGCGGACGGTGGCTTGTGCTATAAGAGCTGGATGCATATGCTCACGGAGCATGAGTACCTAACCTAGGTACCTACCTCCAAACGTTGCAAGGACCAGCCTAGGTATGCTGGTATGATTTCATATTGTACTTATTAGTAACAGGAAGCACACGAAGCACACGAAGTACGCGAAACACACGAGGCACACGAGGCGATGTGGCAAATGAAGTGTGGGGGGAAAAAGAAAGATATTTTACATAAGAACAGGGGTAAGGTACCATCATATTAATAAATGCTGAATAGGTTAAAGGTAGTTACTTATGATATTTAAAAAGTAACTACTATATTCTTTTTCTCCGCGCTATAATGTTAGGTACCTAGGATATATATATAGGGATATACCTTATATTTGTCTTTTAGAAATCTAGACCAACATAATCATCATTCAAGGATTCTTATGGTAATAAAAGACGCCGTTCACCGTTCCAGTGCTGTTAAAACTACCACCTAGGTCATCACCCCCACATTCGTGGACTAACGCAACTCTCTGCTGACTTAAACTCACATCAGTAGACGTATTGACAGCTATCATTCTCCAATTAGCTAAATTAGTCGCCACTCTAAGGTTCATATAACGAGAAGTCCTCGGCAGCTAGCCAGGTAGTTGAGCTCGTATATACACTATCACCAAATACCTGCAATACCTGGCTACCTATGCTACTTACCTACGTTACCTGCCCAGCTGCCTTGCCTACCAACATACCTACCATACCCGAGCTTAAAGAGTACATATAAAGAGTACATAAAGTATGATAAGTATCCGAATGACCCGAATTCAGTTAGAGTCCTATGAGACTTGATACGTCTAACTGCTATAGGTCCAGCTTGTCCTTCGAAAGTCCTGTTAGAAATTGTTGCCTCAGATAAAAACCCGCCCTCTTGATTGGTCCGGCGTCCACCCCGAGTCCAGAGCAAAATTTCCAGAAGAGTTTAAAAAAAGGAAAACATCCTAGAGGATGGGCGCTAAGTCGCGGAGGGCCTCCGGCCTAGGTAATAGGCACAATACTAACAACCCCGACGCTCCTTGACGATCGAATACCTGTTGAAAGTCTTCTATATGCAGCCGCGGTCGATCATCCATTATAAATCGACCTGTCGACATTAATATAGCCGTCCAGCTGATGAGGAATGCGACAGAAGAACATCCCAACAAAAAAAGCCAGGTTTCATTTTTTTCTCTTCTCTTCTCTTCTCGGCTCGGCTCAAGGCCTTGGATCCAAAATCTCCTATTGGAATACCGTGGATCGTGATCCCCGTTCGCTAGCTCATTCGACTTCCTCGACATACAAGTACATACACAGAGACCAGGAATGTATGTGTGTATTAGATCTAGATCTCAGGGTTCAGGGTCTGAGGTCTCGGATTCTAGCTTCTATCTAACGTTTTTCCCTTCGTCATATATATATACCTAGTCGAGCAGCACGTTTATACGGGGCCAATTTGTGATATTAGGGAGGAAGACGCACAAGACGGTCTTTTTTCCTAATTACCCTGCCTTGTGACTTGGAAACTTAATTCGTGGACATGGGACCGCGCGAAACGAAGAGGCGAAATGAATCATGGCTGACAGGCGTACATAATTGGTCACCGATAATTCGACCGTCTGAAGCTACCGTCAGTTTATGCTACTCGACTAAAAACGTATGAAGCTTTTCGAATGACTCTACCATATATTTTTGCCTCGCACTTAAATGGCCTAGGCTTAGTCGCAGCACGCATCGCGGGGATAAAAGATCTATGACTATCCGTCGAAGTTAATTCTCGGTAGATATGAACCGGTGTGGCATGATCCTGATCGTACCTACTCATGTGTTCTTAGGCTCGGCCGGGGATGGGGATGGGGATGGGGTAGGGGGGAGATGATGATACCGTGCGAGAAGATGGCCCTGTTTAATGCGTGGGATGAAATGATGGAATGGGAGTAGATATGATGGCTTGCTTCAAGGTTGTCAGCACACATAGTATTGTATCTTATTCGTAATGCTGTGCTATTGGTAGGCGTGCTGACTTTCATTCTTTAGGTCGTGGCATGTGCCGTTGTTCCATTGCTTTAACCCTGCTTAGGTATTCGCCTCTACCCGCTCGCGCCCTCTTTTTGTCCCTTCCCATCCCATCTTGCTGTTCCATCCAGCAGATGTATCGAACTCATTCACTTCGGGGAAATGTAACTGCGTTTGATATATAGTCGACTCACACTGTCGCGTCAACTGATGCAAGTTGGCAATCTAGAACTGTCAATACCAGTTCTATGCGCTCTATGCGTTCTATGCGTTCTACTAGTACGGAGACGCGCATGCCTAACAATGATTATAATGCGGTACCCTACTTGGACGATCAATACAATACGCCCACAGCAACGGCGAGGAGGCCAGGCCCTTCTCACCGGGAGATGCATCCCAGGATACCAAGTATCGGATCCGAACGTCCCTTGCTGCAGCTCAGGGTGGTAATATCATATATCGGATCGAAAAGCAGGAATCCGCGGGGGTCCTACGGTAGAGTCTAGGCCTGACCTAAGGCGTGCACTAGGATGCATCCTTCTCAAAGCAGAAGCTCGACCAAACAGCCGTCGTTGACACGTTTGCAAGCCGGTATGTAATCACATGCGGCCCGAGGCAGCGCTTAAACACCCGTACCAGTGACCTTAGGTTGCTAAATATACTCAATATATAAATGTAGAAGAGCTACCATAGGCGGATCTGCCGGTGTTTGCTTGCATCGACGGTCGATCGATCGCACTGAGTATACTACAAGTAGGAGAAGAGCTAGGTGGGTGGGTATTAATATAAAGTGCTTGTTGGTGAGTTACCATCCTACAACAACATGATTAAATAAAAGGGGCAGCAGATAATACGAGGAATATTTCATTCCTAACCTCGGTACTCCATTCGGATCTCAAGCCACTTCCAAGGGTCTACATAAACGCGGATGGGTATCCTATGGGGGCCTATGGGTTGTTAGGTCAATGGTGGAGAGAAAGTTACAATTTCGTCGACGCGTTACCAAAAAAAAAAAAAGGATCGTGATGATAAATGGCTCTTTCATACCTAGGCATATAAAGCAACGGAACGTACCGGAATGAAGACCACCTAGGCAATCGAAATATTTGCTGCTCGAATTCTACTTGTTAAAGAGCTAAAAGCATCTATCTGGATGTGCTTTTCTACACAATCCTACCGAGCCGTGAGATGAGGCTCTAAGTAAGCTAATGTTTTAATGGTAGGTTTAACCGTGCCACAATTTAGTATCACCATCTCACAAATGTACATAGATGGAACACAAGAAAACGCCCCGAGCCAATGGATAAGTTAGGTACCCGTGTACGCATGCAAGATTTTTGCCGCACTGGGTAGCTGCAGAGTTGATTCACATGACTGACCTGTTTTATGCAAGACTCGTATCATTTGTTGTTTATGGTTGGTTAGAAATTTATAACCGCAGAGCCTTGACTCCAAAGTGTTAAAGACAGCTGACAGCTTCTAACAAAATCGGATTTTCCTTCTTCATTCGCTATATGCTAAATTTGGGAATCATATCTTTACGAGAGCCACCAACGCCGCCATATCTCTTCCCCATTCCGTCATCCAAGATATTCCACCTGTAGAAGCCAATAAGACAAACAGCCTCCCGCAGCTGCAGCCTGAATGTATGATTTTGCTACAACCGGCTCTAAGATTTGGGGCAACCAAATCGCAAGCCCCTTCGCATTTTAAACCTCTCTTCTGCTCTAGCCTCCCATCTTGAGACTATCTGAAATAGTATCATTAGAGTATTATGTTTGCTAGGGCTCCAGTCCGTAGCTATTGTACCAATGGAACAATGCTTGGCTTAAGACATTGAAGTGCGATGAAGTTGCAGAGTAGATTATGGCGCTCTGCTGCTTGCTGGAGCACGCGGGAAAAGCAAAAAAACAAAATCGAAGCAATAGAACATGAATTCTCAACGAGACGCTGGTATCGGCGCTAGCCATGTAAAACAGTAATAAATCGTGACTTATATATGTGGAATCATCAAATGTTATTATGCCATAAAGACGGCCGCGGGTTCCGACGCTAGATGTGATTACATCCTGGTTTCTTCCCTCAGATGGCTCTTGGAACCTTGTTGATTAAGGCTTTGCTGATTAAGCATCA